CAGACTTGCTTTGGCTCACAGTCTCAGTCATGGTGGGCTGGCTCCAGTGCAGAAACAGTGCAGTGCAAGGATGTGGCACGGAGGAAAGCTGCTCATGTCATGGCGCCCAGGAAGCTGAGGAGCCAGGGAAGGAGATTTCCCCTTCCAGGTGACATCCTAGTGAACTGACTCTTCAGACCAGGCCCACCTCCTAACAGCACAGGCAGTGTACTAATGCACTGGTGACTGGATAAATGCACCATAAGGTCATTAATAACCACATTTAGTATGTCATTAGGAATTAAACACATCAGTGAGTAACAGATATGAATGCACAAAAATGAAGACTCCACCTGCTAACCACAAAGCCATGCTGGCATGCTATAATGTGAGATGAGGAATGCAGCCAACCACAGAAGATCGCCTCTGGGATCCCCTGAGGAGCAGCACAGTGGGGAAACAGCCCTGGGTTTTGCCAGTGAGGGTTTCAGTCAGCAGAAGCAGCCCTCAGGTCCTCCTCTGGCGGATCACTGAGCTGATGATGGCAAGGGACCCCATCCCCTTGATGGCTGCCCAAGTTACCTCTCACAGTTCCTCACTGAGAATGAAACATTCATGCTTCTCTGCAGTGGTGAATTCAGTGAGCCAAACCCCATTTACTGAATTTAAAGCAGGTGAGTAAATAACAGCAGGAAGCAGCAGATCTGACCAGTGGCTGACTTGGGGCGAAGCCCTGGTTTGGCACTTTATACCCATCATTTAGCCCATCTGTCCCTGGATGACAGTTTGATCTTTTGTGTTTGTCTGTCCGCCATCCTCACGTGACAGATAAGGAAACAGGGCTGAAAGAACACACTGCACCTGCCCAAATGCCCAAGGCCACACATCCAAAACAGCAAGTCGGGGTTTCAGCCCAGGACCATCAGATTCCAAACCCCTTGACCACTGTGCCGGCCTGCTGTGGGCACAGGGACACGGGGAAGTGCAGACCATGATGCCACCAAGATGTCTGCAACATCGTCGCTAACGCTGATGTTGACAAGATTAAAAGTGGAGGAGCAAAGCCTGGCAGCAAAGTAAAACTCTCTGGGGCCTGGAATCAACTGTGAAGAAAAAAAGAGGTGGATCTCCAGGGGTCAGGAGGGAGCTGTAAGGACAACTTTACACAGCAAAGTTGGAGAAACCACGTGCAGTGCAGAGAAAGGGATGAAGCAGCCTGGAAACCTCACTCTGGCTCCTGGGCGGGGGACACCTGTCTCAACTGACACAGGTGCGTGCAGAGAGGGTCGGCAGCCCCGGGGAGAAACAGTGGACCGGGCAGGTTGTGCTAGCCCCTGGCGCTGTAGCGTGAACCGGCAAGGACACACAGGCCCAGGCCAGGGAGGTGGCTAGCAGGGTCCCCTGGCCCCCAGCACAGGAGTCTGCACAAGGGTCCCTGGGGCACCAGGTTCAAGGGGTCTACAGAACCCCAGGACACTCACAATGCGTTCTCCATATGCTGATCTGGATGCCCAGCAGACCCACGTCCCAGCGTCCTCCTGCCCCTCAGAGGTGCCTAGCCATGCCCTGTCCCCAAGCCCCTCCTCTCAGGGACTGAGCCCAGGCACCTGGGGTATCCACGTGCAACTTCAGCAAGTGGTCCTCCAGGGCACATCCGGGGCACGCCAATGACACAGACGGAGGACCCTGCGCGAATGCCACCTGCCATCCATGCCAGGCGGACCTGGGCAGAGAGGGGCGGGCACTCTTCCTTCCGGTGGCTCCATGCGCCCCCTGCCCCACCCTAGCCTGAGCAGGGTCCAGGCGTGGCTCTGCTGTCCCCTAGTGGCCCAGCAGCCAGCACCCGGAAGGGAGTCTCGGGGCGGTGGGCCGGGCCCCCTCCTGGGCAGGGAGGGCCCGGGGTGCCTTCCTTTTGATGTTGAGGGGCACCCCGCGTGGCCTACGCCAGTAGGAGTGTTAACTTTTGACAGAATCAGGGCGCCCAGAGCCAGGGTCCCCGCCATCCCCACTGCACCCGGATCTGCAGCCTGGTAGGAACCCCCGCCAGTCGGTGCTGGCACGGCCGGGGCACTGTCTGTGGGGCGGTCCGCGCCAGGGGTCGGGTATCCACCTGCAGTCCGCCTGTGAAGCCTGCGCCCCCAGCCCCGGGGGTCACAGCGCGGCTCGAGCTCCCCCTGCTGGTTCCAGTGCTGCACCGCGTCCTCGCGGGCCCGGGTCCAGGCTCGCCCCGCCCACCCCGGCTGCAGCGGATAGGCCGCCCGGGCGAGCGCGGCCCGCGTGCGCACCTGTGCGGGTGACACGGTCCACACCGCGTCCTGGTGCTGCCCACCCAGCCTCCAGCGATGCTCCTGTCTGCAGCGATGCTCCTGTCACCCCGGTGGAAACGGGGTGGAGGAGACCCGAGTTTGTGATAGATCCCGGGCCCGAGAGGTGCGGTTCCGGCGACCCCGGCTAGGTCAGTCTAGCTGGCGCCCCCCCTCGATCCCCGCCTGGGGGACAGATGCCCTGTCATGTGGCGAGAGGCGGGTGCCTGTCCTGTGGGCAGGAGGTGTAGGGGAGGGGTGCGCCTTCCCTGCGGGCAGGGAGGGTTCCGGGAGCCCCGTGGGGGCCCCACCTGGGGGCTTGCGGTGGTGCCCTGCCTCCCTAGGGTGGGGGCTCCGGGGCCAGGGTGGGTGCGCGGTTGTTCGAGCTCGGTGCCCGCACAATAGCCCCAGATCCATGCACTCCAGCGTCCACACTCCCGTGGCCACGGATCCGAGCCTGGCTCCGGGGCAGGCGGGGCCCGGCGTTCCTGGGGACCCTCGGCCACGCCAGCAGGAAAGGCGGGAAGCCCAAGGTGCGATGCGCCCAGGGGTGACGACAGAACTAGGGGTGCCCAGGAAAGTCTCCAGCTGCCCCACCCGCGCCTGGTTGTATGGCGTTGTGTTCCTCGGGGCGGAGGCCCTGCAGCCACTCAGGGTCCAGGGCACCCTGGGGAGCTGCCAGGCCTGCGTGGAGTCCGCGTGCGCGCAGTCTGCCTGCGCGTCCTCGGTCCCGGGCGGGCTCGGGCGCCCCCTTATGGCCGTGCAGGAGCGCAGCATGGCTGGTGCGCAGAAACCACCCCCTTCCAGACCAGGACAGCAGCGACACCGCCACGCAGGGGACCCGCGTGGAAGCCAGGAGGACGACTCGCAGCGCGGGCGACCACGCGGGGAGGAAACCAGGACCGCAGCTGGTATCCCACCTGAGGCCTTCAGGACAAGGAAGGAAGTGCATAGCAGGAAGTGGAAGGGTCTGGGCCACCGGAAAGCAGAGCGTCCCAGGGTGGGGAAGAGGCCACGTGAGACCCGCCTGTGTGACTGAGGGGCTCAGGCTTCCAGGGGGACATCTGCGTAAGGATAAATGCAGGGTGTCATAATGGCCCAAAGAATAATAAGTAACCGGGAGAGGGCACGAACCTCTGACACAGAGGAATCCTGAGTAGTTGATGGAGATCCTCCGCTCTCTGGGGGAGCCTAGGTCCTCACCCTCTATGTAGGCTGAGCCTAGGTCCACACCCTCTGTGTAAGCCGTAAAATTGAGAGTTTTCTCAATTTTACTGTAAAGCTAAAACTCTGGGCTTCTCACCTGCTGAGGAGAGTCAGGGTCCAGCACTCTGTGGTGAGCCCTCTAGACAGCAAGATGTGAAGCTCCATGGAGTAGAGGTCCCTCCCCTAGGCAGGGACCTAGAGCTCCCTTGGACCTCCAAATAGGGCTGCCTCCTTCTGCACCCTCAGCCTGCTGGCATCAGGGAGGCCAGCACCACTCTTCTTTGTGCACAGAACTCTGCTCATTTATCAAAGTTGTGTCTTTGGCAGAGATGTTCAGCAGGGGATACTTGGCTCCTACCAGCTTGTTATGGTTTGTCTGTGTGTCCCCCCAAAGCCTCGTGTGGTCATGGGGCAGGCTTTTAGAGTTGATTGAGGTGTGAGAGCTACACCCGCCCTGGGGTGGATAGTTTGCATATGTAAGGGAGAGGAAAAGGGTGCTTGAGGCCTTTCCCGGCTTTTGTGTTTGTTGCTTTTGCTGTATTCGGACACCATGAGCTGTAGCCCTCTGCCATGTGCCACTCTGCCTTATAATCTGCCAAGTATAGACTGAAACCTCCACAACTGTAAGCAAAATAAACCTTTCCTTCCTTAATTTTGGGTGTCAGGTATTTTGTCCCAGCAACGAGAAAAAAAGTAACTGAGACACAGCTCTTCTGTGGGCCAAATCAGTGGGAGAGACTTGAAAACCCAAGATGGCCATGAACGTGTTTTCTGCACCTTAGTATTTTAAGATTACTCTTTTTCCAAATTTTTCAAAACAAATAGTGAGACTTTGGTGTATAACTTTAGGCTAGAGTGTCATATAAACATTTGTTTCCCTGAACTTTATTTTTATAAATATGTGTTAACCATTGCATTTTGTTTTCATCTTTGTTCAAATTATTGTTAACTGTTTTGAAAGCAAACTCTTAATTTCTGTGTGGGGGTATGTGTGGGAGTATAGTACTGGGTATTTAACCCAAGGTGTTGCACTGAACTATATCTTCTTATCCTCTCCCTCATTTTTTGAGACAAGGCCTCCCTAAATTGCCAAGTCTGCCATTGAACTTGTGATCCTCCTGCCTCAGCCTACTGAGTAGCCTGGATTACAGGCACCACCACACTCAGCATTAGTAGATTAGTAACAGATGTAGAATATAAACTTTGAAACATCTCTGACTTCTAATCACATTGAAATAAAATGTCAGTGTCCATCCCATAGTTAATATTAAAAAGAAAGAAACTCTTTAACAAGTGAAACACACCAGAGTTTATTTGAGGAAAGAATAAAGAATTCCCCTATCTGGCAGCCCTCAGATCCAGGGAAGTATCAAAGAGCAAGAGCATGTGGTGGGAGCAACTGTGAGCTGAGTTGAGGAACAAACACAGCTCCATTGGTTATGAAGTCAGCTTAAGTCATGGCTGCACTTGACAAGCCCAGGTGCTGTAACTAGCTGAACTTCGGCTATTTGTCAAAAGACTGTAGTCATTGTCTAGGGTTCCAGGCCCTATTCTTTCAGTTAAAATATTTGGTGAAGAAGAAGCCCTTGAAGAAGGGCTGGGTTGTGTATGGAGCAAGGTATCCTGTCTGTTAGCAGGGCTTGGAGTATAGTTCAATGTCATAGCGCCTACCCCCAAACTTGAAGTGACTGGCTCAATTCTCAAAACTACATAGGAATGGGGAAATGAATAACCATAACAAAATAGCATGGAGCCAGATGGATTAATAAAGACCAAGTAGGACTGAAACATCCACAATGTTAGCAACAGGATAGGCATGGACAGAAAGAATGTGAAATAACATGTTTTAAATGGTGATTAAAAGCTGGGGTTAGTGGTACACGCTTGTAATCCCCGCACTCAGGAAGCTGAGGCAGGAGGATAATTGCGAGTTTGAGGCCAGCCTGGGCTACAAAGTGAGCTCAAGTCCAGCTTGAACTACAAAGTCCTGTCTCAAAAATACAAAAAAAAATTAAAATAAAACAATAAAATTGATTAAAATATAATTAAGAGAGACAAAAACAGGGAAAAGAAAGTAAAACAATATATTAAAAGTGAAAAGGGAGAAAATAAATAGTGAAGGCACCCCCCAAAAAGTGAGCAAGACAATCAAAGAATGTAAACATTAGAAGGGGGGAAAGAGAAATAGAGCAAGAAAAAGTAAAAAAGAATAACAAGAAAAATATGAGCCCATGTGGTAGCACACATTTGTAATCACAGCATGTAGGGGGCTGAGACAGGAAGACTGCCCTAAATTTAAGGCCAGCCTGGACTACATGGTGAGACTCTGTCTCAAAAAATGTAACACACACACACACACACACACACACACACACACACACACTCATACATAGTTATAGACATAAACATAGATATAGATGTATTAACCAATCAGAAAATTTTATAAAGTCTAATAAGTAGCAAAAGGATTGTCTCTGTGCTGAGGTGGTCAAACATGCAGACAATAGTGGGCCCCCATGCCCTGTGCCAATCTGCACTTCTCCCTGTGCCTTCCTGGGCTGTGTGCCCCTCAGAGCACTGAGAGTCATTGACTTTCTTCCCTCTCATCTCGCTGGTCAGGCTGCCAGCTGGAGCTGTTTGGAACCAGAGCTGCTCGAAGCGAATCAGCTTTCCTGCTCAAGGCTACAGAGCAGCATGGAATGAGTGTTTACTCTGGAAAAAGTCACTCAACACACTCCCAGGCTGGGCTGACGCTGAGCCTGCTGCTCACCTGGGTCTGCAGTGCTCCTTGAGAATCCAACTCAGGGCAACAAACTGCCCCAGTGGAGAACGCGCAGCTGGTGCCACACGATCCACTGCCCATAACTGGCCTTCTGAGCCAAGTCCCAACATGAGTCCTGTGTAGTTGCTCAGTTGCCAAACCCACTTAACTGGCTGCCCATGCTGCCAGTCTTAGAGTGAAAGTGACCTCCACTCTGCCTTATCTCTGACCTAATGCCCTTGCATATATTCTTCAGTGGGGTTGTTTCAGTGGCATCATGTTTGTGTCCTAAGAACACAGATAAATTCTTATTCTGTTTTTTTCACAAAATGCAGCACATTACGTCCTACTTCACATTTTATATTTCCACCATTTAGCAACATATTCTACACTTTTTTATTGTTCAAAATATTAATACATGTTCCTTTGATATTAAGATCAATGAGAAGAGGTGGGCCTCAGGAGATAGAGACCTGCAATTCTATCTTTCATAAAAACGGAAGAGCCCCTTTAAGGAGGTGGGTGGGAAGTTATATTTCAAAAACTGAGATAAAAGTTGATGTTCAAGCACAGAACTATATCTCACTTGATAATGAATATGCCCTCTATGTACTGATTTGATACATAAAGAACTCCATACCTCTACATAGTCACCCACTGTCAGTTACTTTGAGCCTAAACCTAACCCTTTAAGAAATAAATATAGTACCACAGCAATAAATATAGATCTCTTGTGAGTTTGTAAAAAGGTAGGTTTTCAAATATGAAATAGCCTCACTGATGCACTTAGTGAGTTTTTCTTTTTTTTCTTTTTTTGCATTCTTTCCCTGGAGAACCCATCAGAACATATACAATACAATTTAACCATAATGTTTACATCTGTGCTCACATGAAATCAAAGTAGTACCTTTCTGGTGGTATGCTGCATCCTGTGTGGCCCTTGAAGTTCCTAGGGAAAAGGATGGTGAGAGGATGGGAAAAATAAAGATAAGAGACAAAACTGAGGTCAGGTGGAGCCCCTTCTCTCCTGATGGGAGGAAAGGAAACTGCTTGACCACTGTAGGGGCATTTATTTATACACTTGACAAAGTTAGTGTCCTGTGACACAAATATGCCTGGTAACTGATTGTTTGGATTATCTCGGACTTGGTGTTCTCTGGGCTGAAGCAGCTTCCTCCCGTGGCT